ACAGATGAAAACCATAATCAGAGTGTATGCAAACAAAAAGGCTCACTTTTAATGATGTGTGAATTCTCCAAAGAATCAAATGTGGTTCCTTGGAAATATAGTCAACAGTGAAGGTATTGTTGCTGATCCTGAGAAGACCTAAGCCATTATGTAGTTCCCCACTCTGACATCCAGGACCCACAGATTCTCAGGCAAGGAAAAGGAGTAATTTTACCCTTTCTTGACAAGTAAGACAAAACCCTAGAGTCAGCCCTTCAAAAAGATGTAACAGTTGTGTTGGAATGTATCTCAAGAAAATGCCAGGTTACAGGAAGAGGGTAGGGGAATGAGTCAGGGTGGGATGCTCTTCGGAGGGGTGGTGTGGACTTGTTGGGCTGAATGGCCTGTTTCCACACTGTAGGGATTCTATGAATTCCATGAAAGAATGCTTTTTAGAGGATCTAGAACATGGTGAAATCTATGGATGTCCTAGCACTCTATAATCCATCCTTTCCAACTATCTGAGCAGCTGAAAATATGCTAATAAGCCATGATTGAGTTGGAGATTCTCTTGGTTACATGGACTTGGCAAAAGATTTTCAGGTTACGTCCTTTATTTGAACGTGGTCAGAGAAATGAATCATAGAGTTCCTGTATATTTACTGTGAAGGAACCAGCAAGGATGCCTCCAAGAATGCAAAGGTTTTGACTTCATCTCACAAGGCTCACATATGAAGCAGTATGCATGAAAAGTTGCAAGCACTGCCAGATGTGCAGTTCAGAATGATGACCAAGAGCCCTATCAGGGAAGATATTGAGCTTAGTCACAAAATCAAGTCATGCATTCGGTCTGCAACAGTATAGTGGTCACCAAGCCACAATCAGCTTAGTCAAACTTATCAGGCACAATTGAAAAACTAGGGAAGTCTTGATCTCAGTCAGTATTTTGTTGAAGTTTGGCCAGACCAAAGGTCAATTGGGTTAGCCATGAAAACATATTTAGAGCTCAAACAGCATTCTACAATTCTGGATGTCAAATGACTGGTCATACCAGCTTTTCTTCAGGAAGTTATCCTGGGGAACAAAAACAGAAGTGCTCAAAAAGCTGAGCAAGTCAGATAGCATCTGTGAAGAAAAAATCAGAGTTAATGTTTCGGGTCTGGTGGCCCTTCCTCAGAACTTGAGTACATGGGCAAGGATTGGATCCGGGGAGAAAAGACTGAGTCATGGTAGGAGGAGATGAGTTCTGTGGGGCAGGGGCAGGCTAAATAATGAGTCTGCCTGAACAGTCCTGTTTGTGGATTTTTGGAAGGAGGTAGATGCAAGTTGTGCAGGGCTGGGAGACTATCAGCTTGGAAGCAGTGTGGGGGAAGTCACCAGATGAAATGAGATCAGTTACTGTAGTAGATACAATGGCCTGATGCATCATGGTGGGGTCATGGTCCAGGAGGAAGTATCTGAGAGCTGGCGCTCAGCCTCTGCAATATAGAGGTCAGTACACCAGACTACAATACCACCAACCTTATTGGCAGACTTAATAACAAAGTTAGGGTTAGATCTAAGGGCAGATGGAGGGCAGTCAGTTTGAAGGGAGATAGTTTGGATTTGGTGAGGGGGGCAAAGAAATTGAGGCATCCAAAATCACGTTGACAGTTCTCAATGAACAGATCAAGTGCAGGTAAAAGGCCAGAGGGAGGGGTCCAGGTGGAGGGAGAGTGTTGGAACTGGGCAAAAAGGTCTGTGGGACGGGGAGAGGACTCTTGTCCAAAGATATGGGCACGGAGGCGAAGACGGTGAAAGAAGAGTTCGACATCATGTTGTGCCCGAAATTCATTAAGTTGGGGACACAGAGGGATAAAGCTGAGGCCTTTGCTGAGTACAGAACATTCAGCATCAGAGAGCGGAAGGTTGGGAGGGATGGTGAATATCCAACAGGGGTTGGGAGAAGGGATGGAGTCAGAGGGGAAGGTTCCAGAAAGCCATGGGTATCTCTGAGCTGTTGCATCTTGTGGGCCTTGATGCCTGAAAGGAAAAGAAAAAGTTGCTTGTTAGCACGACGAATGTGCCAGAGGATGAAGTGGAACTGCGGAGTGGTGCAATCCTGAGCCAGTGTGTTTCGGTGCTGTTGGAAAGAAGAGTCAAAAATGTGCACGTGATGCTGCATGGCACAGAGTGTGGATTTCAGGCTGCAGTGAGAGCAGCTATCTGTGGAACGTTGAACATCCTGGAGATATCTGTGATCCTGCGAGGATTCAAAACATGAGAGATGAAACTTCAGTTGCAATCCACGTGGAGTGAGTCTGAGCCAGAGGCAGTCACTAAGGAATGTGATATAGCTGTGGAAATGAGTTTTAGCAAATACCTAGTCAAACATCAGGAGTGACAATGAAATTAACGTTGATGGACAAGAAGAAAGATTGGAACAAAAATCCTGTTGGAAAGGGGAGCAGAAGGTGGGCATGCCTAGAAGAGATGTGGCAGTGAGTTAAATATTAAATAAAAACCGAAAGAACTGCAGATGCTGTAAATCAGGAACAAAAGCAGAAGTTACTGGAAAAGCTCAGCAGGCCTGGCAGCACCTGTGAAGAAAAAGTCAGAGTTAACGTTTCAGGTCTGGTGACCCTTCCTCAGAACTGGGTTATTGGGATAACTCAGTTATCCTGGGGAAGTTCAGCAGGAACTTGGTCAGATCTTGGTCAGCACTCTGGTGCCTGGGATCTCCAGCCACATTGAGGATTTCATTGCCGATTGCAAGAATTGTGTCATCCACAATCTACAGTATCAAGATCCAATGAAACTTACACATTCCCCATCAATCCATGGAAATATAATGTCATGGATTTCCTTGTTTTTGATGGGACCGTTAACTTATAGATTCATCTCATTCTAGAGTTCTGGTGAGCAGGAAGCTGAAGACTCAGTTCTCTTCTCATCAAGAAATTTGACTCTATATTTAAGTGTACAGGACTGTCAAGGAACAGTCCTACCATACATAACAGGCCACACATAACCATAGAAGAGCCAATTGTTATCACACTTCAGACAGGGACGAGAGAAAATATGTGGATCCTGATGTAAACAGGAAAGGTATAGTCATCCAAGGACCTGCAGACCATATATTGTTGTCTTGAGGAACTGCAGGAGTCCTATCTCATTGGCTTGTGTTCACTGCTGATTGATTAGGATGAATCCAGTGGGGAACTTGATAACATAAGGGGCCTACAGACCTCAGACTATCAGGAAGAGCATCAAAATTAACGGTCTTCCACCCAGCAAACACAATTTGTTCAAGTCTGAAGAGAATGTTTATGCAAGAATTTTGGAATCTCCAGATCACCTGAATTTGTAAAGTCAGAATCTTTGGGATAGGTGGTGTAGTAGTATATGTAATTAAGCATAGAAATGCAGAAAGCTAGAGTAGGAGTTGGCCAGTTGGCCCATTGAGCCTGTTCCATCATTCAATATGATCATTGCTCCTCTATCTCAGTGCTGGTCCTGCTTTCTTCCCATACTTCTTAACGTCTTCAAAATATTTTTAAAAAATTTTCTTGAATATATTCAGAGAATTGGTCTCCACAGTCTTCTGCCTTTTGTCTGAAGGAATCTTTCCTTATCTCAGTCCTAAATTGCCTACCCTATATTCTGAGACTGTGACCCCTGGTTCTAAACTCCCCAGCCCAGGGAAACATCCACCATGCATTTAGACTGTACAGCCCTTTTTATACAGAATTTTATATGTTTCAATCAGTTCTCCTCTCAACTTTTGAAACAAAAGTAATACAGGCCCAATCGAACCAATCTGCCCTCATAGGGCAGTCCTGCCATCCCCAGCATCAGCCTAGTGAACTTTTGCTGCACTCCCACTATGGCAAGTACATCCTTTCTCATGTAGGGAGACCAAAGCTACACACAATGCTCCAGGCATAGTCTCATCAAGGTCCAATATAACTGTGGTAAGCTATCCCTTCTTCTGAACTCCAATCCTCTTACACTGAAGGGCAACATACCATTTGCCTTCCTAATTGCCTGCTGCACCTGCGTGTCTACTTTCATTGACTGGTGTACAAGGATGCTCAGATCCACACTTCCAATATCTCACCATTTAAATAATACTCTTCCTTTCTGTTTTTTTAAGCTAATGTGTATAACTTCACATAATTATATACATAAATGTATAACACTAATAATGATAAAACAGCTTTTGAGGTAATGTTGTATTTTGGGTTCTGAAAGGGAGAAGTTCCATAAGCATCACCCACATTGATGATGGTATATGGTCATCTGGGTAGAACAGTTTACAATCTCAAAGGACTGAAACCTAAAATCTGGTCCTCCTCAAAGTCTTTGTAACAATGTCTATAATATAAATGTAACCTGTAGCTACCTTATTAATATGCAATAACCTGTATCTTGTGAACAGCAAATGACTCTACTAATTAAAGCAAGAAGTGGGTCTCCTCTACAACACCAGACCAAGCAGTTCCTATAGTTTCCCATAGCTGTCTGAGTGCATGTATTATAATAGTTTAAAGTGAATTTAATAGATACTTCCTGTAAGAATGTCAATACGTATATTGACCAATAAAGGGAGGTAGTACTAGCAAACCCATTTGCAGGTTTCTCAACTAAAAAGTTGAAGAAAGAGGAGTTGTTTGATGGTTTCATTTCAAATTTGAATTTGGGCATGGAATGGAGCCCGTTAAGGAAATTCTTGCATTTATCTGCAGATTAAAACATAGCACATGTATCATCTATATAATGGAGGTATGCATTGACTCGGAGGTTCAGTGTGATTACTTTTAAGAGGTGTTTGTTGTGGAAACCAAAGCAGATTTTAGAGCTTGGTCTAGAGGTAACATCATCTATTTGGGTGTATTATTTTTGTCTGTCCTGACGATTACATGTTGAAAAGTTTTAACAGTAGCTTTTTTTTACAACAATACTTTTTAAACATTTTCACATTTTTATTATGCAGTTCTATTGACTTTTTTAATTTAATGATTGATTTTTTAATGTTGCAGAATATCATCTTGGCAGATGTACAAAAGAAGTTAAACATTTTGGTGGACAAACTGAAAAAGGAACATGATCTTATATTTGCCAATCTTGCACCTGCTGAACTAGAGATGGTCATTGATGCTAAATGTCAGGCTGCAGCAGTTGCTTTCCAAAACTTGCAACTAGCATTTAGGTACAGGTCAGCCTTACTTTTGCACTGTTGCAATGGTCATAAAAAACATATTTTCGGTTCATATGATACTTTTTTGCTTTCGTACAGACCCTGGCCCATATCTGAAATATCCTAGATTACAGACCATGTGGTTAGATTCTGCAGGGCCAACCAAACTTCCCCATCTAAAACAGGGAGCCTGGCCACAATCACAGCAGTTGCTCTCACAGCATTTTCCTGCTCAGAGCATTGTTAATTACTTTAAGGTGTGATTTGTGCCTCTATTTTAGAAGGAAGTCCTTCCTTAGAGAGCTGCAGGCCAATCAGATGGCTGGTGGTTTTGTAGTCTCAGCAACTCCGTGTGGGATTGGTGGCCATGGCTGGGAGCACAAGTACTCCAAATTCAGAGCAGCCCAGATAAGTCCAGGGCCAGAGCCTCAGCGAGAGAGGTTGCTGGGCCAGGTTTAAGTGGTGAGGCCTTTAAGTGGCCTAAATAGGCCACCCAATAATGTTTCAGGCATGTTGGAGTGGGGAGAAAGGGCGGGGGATGTGGTATGAGGCCACCTGCTGGATTTTACATACCTCCCTTGTCCTCAGATCCACGAGTGAGGAGGATAAAGTCCAACACATACACACAGCAGCCTTTCTCTGACAGGCAGAATTTCCTTTTGAAGTATTGAGTACTGTTCATATCCTAAATTGTGTGAAAAAAAATGGTGGATAAACAAATTCTATGTAGGGATTGTTAAGGTACTTTTTTTCAAACTGCGACAATTTAGCAGCTTTTAATAGATGAAAATATTCTGAGGCACTTCACAAAGCAAGGTTTGATAGCGAACAATATAAATAGATATTATTTTGTTTTCCTGGCCCCACAACTTGGTTTTCCTCTCCCTAGGGCTGCACTACCTTTCCCACTCAGAATCAGGCCCTCGTGACTGCTAGGAGCTGTTATTTTTTCTCCCTGGTCACTTCCCTCTCTTTCACCTGGTCACTTTCCTGCTTGCCATTGGGTTCAGCTAGTAGACTAACAGGGTCCATGCAGATGAGGCCAACAGTGTGTGTCAGAACTAGTTTACATTCTGTACAGATCTCATGAGAGTTAAGATTGAAACATATGTATATTGAATTCAGGCTACAATAAGGAGATATTTGAACCAGCTGACAAAGAAAATTAGGTTAATTAAATCTACTGTTTACTAATATATTTATTTATGTAATTTAAAAACTGAAACTCAGCAGTGAAGCAAATTCTTACTGTACAACAATAATGTACAAATCAATACGTACAACAGAGAAAGCATTTCCATTCTGAATGTTCGACATCTCAACATTATTTCCTCTCTCCATTTTGCTATTGCTGTCATGAAGCTTATATTTTACATTACACTCTGAAATTATGTATTATAAACAGAATGTTTCCATAAAATGGGACTCAGGTGCCACTTTATGTCATGTATGTCTGTTTGCTATTCTTTCCAGTGCTGCCATTGCATTATCTGCAGTTCAGCTCTTAAAAAGATCCAGAATCTTGATGAATGTTAAACAAAGCAATGTAAAGCCTCCTTCATCAGCGCTCAGAAGTACACCAGTTAAGAACAATGTAAGTTAGGCCGCTATTTATATCAGATTTGTGCATTAATTCCTATTCAAAGCAAATGGTGAAATCTAATGTAAATATTGAAGCAAGCGTTATACTTTGCTTATACTCCTATGAAGCATATTGGAATCTTTTTAACATCAAAGACACCATATCATCGCAACTTGTTTTATAATGAACCCAATTATGACCCCTGAGGGGTGTAGCTTCGATCAGGAAATTTAAGAACAGACCAAAAAAAATGGTAGCAGGAGGAGGTTTTTACGCCAATCAACCTGTACTGCCATTTGAGGAAATCATGATAGGTCTTCTACTTCAACACCGTTTCCTGCACTATTCCTGTATCTTTTGATGTTTTCATTATCTAGAAATCTATCAATCTCTATCTTGAATATGCTCCATGACTAAGCCTCCACAGCTCCCTGGGATAGAGAATTCCAAACCACCATCTTCTGAATGAAGAAATTCCTCTTCATCTCTGTTTTAAATGGTCTGCCTTGATCCTGAGACTTAATCCCCTCGTTCTATAAACCACCTCCCTTGTCCACCCAGGGCAAACATCTTCTCTGTGTCTACCCTGTTGATCCCTGTAAGAATTTTATATCTTTGAATGAGGTCACCTCTTATTCTTCTAATCTCAAAAGAATACAGGCCCAGTCCATTTAGATTTTGCTCATTGGACACTTGCTTTATCCAAGGAATTAATTTGAATTTTCATTCCATCCCACAGATTTCAGTGATCCATGAAGAAAGTCACCCAGGTCTCTTTGGGCATTAACACTTCCCGGGCTCTCTCAATTTAAGAAATACTCTGCATTTCTGTTTACTAACGTGGATAACTTCCACAATTTTCCACATCGCATTCCATCTGCTATGTTATTAGCCACTCACTTAGTCTTTCAAAATCCACTTTGAAGAAGGTCAAAATGATTTTGCTTTCTCGGGGATTCCACTTGACATTCTGTTGAGGGCTGCTTTTTGATTTTTGAAAGCTACATTTTGGTTTTTGGGGAGCACGTTTCATTCTCACTAACTCATCAATTAGACAGATCTGTCACCTAGTAGCAGTAGCTTCTAAATTTGCATTGGAATATTGGATATTTGGACCTATACTCAAGAAGAGTTAGAATAATTTATCAATATCCTCAGTATCAATTCTCCATTAACGTCATAACATGCAAGTAAAGCATTAAACTTTCTAGACACTCCACTATTTAAATTGGTTCAAGACAGCAGACATGAATTAACTATTTACATTCCCACCAGTTCTATGTCATCACGAAACTTAAAGAGGTATTTCATTTGGATTGCACATCAAAATCATTGATATAGATTGTGTATAGCTGGGACCCAAGTATTGATCTTTGTGCTTCCCACTAGTCACACCCTGCCAGCCTGAGAATAATCCATTTATTCCTGTCTGTAAACCAATTCTCAGTCCATGTCAATATTATAGCCCCATCCCATAGATTCTAATTTTTGTTTACTAACCTCTTTTAAAAATCCAAATACACCACTTCGATTAATTTCCCTGTACCTTTTCTATTGGTCACATTCTTACAAGCTCCAAGAAAGCTGGCTGACACACACGATTCTCCTTTAATATGTCTGTGTTAACTCTGCCTAATCCTACTGTTAATTTCAGAGTGTCTTGTTAGCACATATTTTTGTAATAAATTCTAACATTTTCCCTACTGCTGAAGTCAGTCTTTCCCTCCTTTCTTTAAGTAGTAGGGTTAAACTTGCAACCAATCAATTTGCAGGAACCATTTCAAAATCTCTAGACATTTGGAAGACCACCAATGCACTTCTAATCTCTCAGTCTCCTCATTCAGCACTCTGGGATGTAGATCATCAGGTCTGAGGGATTTACCAGCGTTTGACCTATTAATTTCCCCAGTACTACTTTGTACTGCTTGATTTCTTTTGGCTCATCATTCTCACTAGTTCCTTAGTTCTCTAGAGTATCAAGGAAGGAATCCGGGAAGACAGACACTAAGTGTTTTTTATTAAATGTTCCCTGCCATTTTATTAACCTCCACTATGAATAATTAAGATCTGATAGCCATTAAGGAGATATGGCTGTAGGTGGTAAAGATTGGATGTATGACTTTTGAGTTGTGCAGGAAGCTCGGTAAATTGGAGGGGTAGCCCTGTTAATGAAGGAGCGCATTTGTGCATTAGTCAGAGATGACCTTGGTTCAGGAGATCAGGATTTAGAATCAGTTTGGGTGGAGATGAGGAATAGTTAGGGAAAGAGGTTACTAGTGGGAGTGGTTCACATATTGGTGTTTGTGATAAAGGGACTGCTATTAGGGGCAGCACAGTGGTGAGCACTGCTACTTCACAGTGCCAGTGACCTGGGTTAGATCCCATCCTTGGGCAGCTGTCTCTGTGGAGTTTGCACATTCTCCCCATATCTGCGTGGGTTTCTACTGGGTGATCTGGTGTTACAAAGTGGGAGGTCGAACACCTCTGATAATTAAACCAAAACACAAGCCCCCAATATGTTATGGTGGGAGTATAGGTTCCCTTCTAATAATTAAACTCGAAACACCCAGAGAAGCTCACCTCACCTTTATAATCTATTAAAAAGAGTGATTAAATGAAAGAGAATCCCTGCTATTCACTTTACAAGTAACAAGTAACAGTTTATTTAGTTAACCCTAACAGTGAACAAATTAACAGAATTACTAACAAACTGAATAATTCCCCCTTAACTACTAACTATTCCCTAACTGAACTAAATTCTACTGGTATGCTGTTCCAAGGCCTACTTATATAAACCCAAGAAATAAGAAAATAAATTAAAACTTAGTCTTTCAAAGTCTACAAGCCTTTCTGCTGCTGTTCTCAAGTAATAAACACCTTTCTTCTGCTGATCTGGCTGTCAGGGATGTTTTCTCTGTGAAGTCTTCTGTGAGGACTCTTAGCTAAAAGTGCCATGGTACCTTTTATGGATAGATGGTGCTTTCGTACAGAGCTTAGAGATTTCTTGTGAGAGCTAGATACTTTTTTCTCGATGGCGGTTTGCTCTCACACTGACTTTCAAAAGCCCTCTCCATATGTACCTCGGATGACATACCAATTTTCTTAAAATAGCATTGGTCCGAGATTTGTCAAAACCATCAGATATAAATTCAATTGACTTTCAATCGCTAAGTGCTTCATTTAAATTGATTGGCTGATTCCAGCTAGTTGCTAAAACATTAAAACAAGCCTGAGGTTTCCAATCACACAGCCAATTGATACATGTTTCAATTTCAGAACTGGCTGTACATCTTCAGCTACATACAGACACCTTTTTTTCTGTATAAATCTCTAAGCCTTGAAAAGCACTTTACCTCTTAAAGGAACCACGCACTCTTCTCCCTTATCATTTTTTTTACAAACAAATTCTAGCTTCCTGCCTTCCAATTCATGATTACTCTACACAACTTCATAACACCGGTTTCAGCATTTCTGAAGAAGGGTCCAGACCTGAAACGTTGGCTTTCCTGCTCCTATAATGCTGCCTGGCCTGCTGTGTTCCTCCAGCTCCACATCTTGTTATCTCAGACTCCAGCACCGGCAGTTCCTACAACCCCTTCATAACACCAGTTTTGTTCCACAGTCCAAAGATGTGCAGATTAGGTGGAGTGGCCATGCTAATTTGCCCCATGGTGTTCAGGGCCATGCAGACTAGGTAAATTAGCATGGTAAATGTGGAGTTACAAGGATTGTGGGGTGTTGCAGTTGGTCTGGGTGGGATGCTCTTCAGAGGGTTGGTGCAGACTCAATGGGCTGAAAAGCCTCTATCTGTACTGTAGGGATTGTAGGATTCCATAATCGTTGGTGACTTTAATCTATACATAAACTGGAAATTTCAGATTCGCAGTTGTAGCCAGAATGAAGAGCTTATTGAATGTTTTCAAGAGAATTTCTTAGAGTATCACTTTTTGAAAAGAATTAGATTCATACACAGGTATTATGTAATTAGACAGGATTAATTAATGGCTTAGAATAAAGGCACCCTTAGGTAATAGTGGCCCCAATATGATTGAAATTTCCAGTTTGAAAGGGAGAATACTGGGGCTGACTTGTATTTTAGACCTAAATAAGGACATGAATAAATATGGGCAAATGAAAGCTGTACTGATGTGAATGACCATACTAAATTAGGGGAACGATTACTAGAGACACAATGGTAGCCATTTTAAGGGCATACTTCAGAATACTCAGCACAAATATATTCCTACAATAAAGAAAAATTCTAAAGGAAAGACCCACCAACTGTGGTTATCTAAAGGAGTTAGAGAAAGCACCAAACTTATGGAAAAAGCACATAATTGCACAAAGCTGACTGGCAGGTCAAACGATTGGTTAGAATATTAAGAATGACAGAGAATGACTAGAAAATTATTGAGAGGAGGAAGAAATTAGAGTGTGCAAAGAAGCAAGCTAGGCATTTAAGAACAGATAGCAAGAGTTTCTACAGGTATTTAAAAGGGAAAAGAGTAAATCGAGTGAGTGTTTGTCCTTAGTGAGAATGGGGAGTTAGTAGTGGATAATAAGGAGATAGTAGATGATACGAGCACATATTTTGCTTCTGCCCTCGTTGTAGAGGAAACGAAAATCATTCCAGTAATAGTTGTAAATTAGGAAGTGGCTGGGAGAGCGAGGGGAACTTGGTGAGATTTAAAATCGCAGCGAAGTGGTACTGAGTAAACTGGTAGAAATGGATTTCAACCAAGGATCTTAAAAGATATTGTTAAATGAATTTTTGCTGCATTGGTGTTAATTTCCCAAAATTTCCTCATTTCAGGAAAGGTTTCATCAGATCGGAAATCAGAAAATATGACCCCTCTATTCAAAAATGGAGGGAGACAGAAAACAGAAACTATAGGCCAGTTAGTTTGACACCTGTGGGGTCCTGCAAGGTTTGTGCCAGGGCCTTAAGTTTTTACAATTTTCATCAGTGATTCGGATGAGAGGTGCATATTCAGATGACACCAGTGTAGGTAGGAAAGCATGCCCCAGATTTTCCACTGACCAGACATTATGTCAATTGTTATGAGAGGGTAAATGGGAGTTCCGCATACGGGACCCTTTAGAACCCCCATTGTAGCACTCTCCAAAGGAATTGCCCAGAAAATTGAATTTTCCACAGGGCAATTTCTGCTCACCTGGGACCCTTTGAAAGTCTCCAAAAAAATTAGAGACTTCAGATGGTAAAGATTAAATTAAATAAAATAGTTACTCAGGAAAACTTAAGACTACTAAATGCGTAGTCTAACTCCTGAGTAACTATTAAACTGACCCTGTACTTAGCTTACAGAACCCCAACTATACATCTCTCGACCATTTTACATCCTCCTTATGCCCACCCAACAACCTCTGGAGACCTGACATGCCACCCCAGGACATTATAATACCCTTTGCCTCAGGGCCTGACTCCCTTGCTCTAATCCGCATCCAAACCACTCTTCTGTCAAAATTGACTTCTGACCTCCACTGCCACTAGACCTTCCCTAAACACTGCATTACTGGCCCCTTTGCCACCTTGCACCAACTCACTTGACACCTTATTGCCTTCCCGCAGCGTCCTACCCAGCTGGCACCCTAGCACTACCCCAGCTGACATCAAACCTTCTATCAAGCTGGCATTCTACTTACCTGGCAACTTAACCACACCCTTACCCGTCTGGCATCCTACCATCCCAGCACCCTAAAACATTCTTACTTTATGGACTTACCCTTTGACAGCAGCTGTCAAAGTTGCTTTCAGGAGTTTTCAGTTTCAGAATATGGCAGCTGATGCCACGGAAAAATGATATGATGTACCTTCCATTCTGACAGTTGTCTGTTACCAAAAGAACTGTTGGAATGGAAGTACAACTCCACAATCCTAAGGGAGACTCGAGTGGAATCTCATCTCAAATTCGGAGCTCCATTCTTTCAGAAAAAAGGAGCAAAATGGCAATATGCATGAGATTAACAATCTCCAGAATATGCTGTGAAGGAGACATAAAAAGGTTGCAGGCGGATATGGATAGGTTGAGTGAGTGGGCTAAAACCTGGCAGATGGAATACAATGTGGGAAAATGTGAAGTTGTTCAACTTGACAAGAAGAATTAAAAAGCAGACTATTACTTAAGTAGAGAGTGACTTCGGAATTCCTATCTGCAGAAGGATGTAAGTGTTCTTGTGCATGAGCTACAAAAAGTTATTAAACAGGAGCATGTAATCAAGAAAGCTAGTAGGATGCTATCATTTATAATAAGAGAAATTGAACATAAAAGTAAGGATGTTATGCTTCAGTTATATAGGACATTGATGAAGCCACATTTTGAATAATGTGTGAACTTTTAGTGACCTCATCTAAACAAGGAGATCAGTTTATTGGAGACAGTTTGTAGGAGGTTTGCTCAATTGATATCTAGAATGAATGGGTTGTCATGTGAGAATAGGTTGGACAGACTGGGCTTGTTTCCACTGGAGTTTAAAACAGGAAGGGGTGATTTGTTTGCAGTGAATAAGATTCTGAATGGTCTTTTCAAGGAGAACCGTTCCTCTTGTAGATTTGTGTAGAACTATGTGCAACTGTTTTAAAATCAGGGTTTGTCCTTTTAAGACAGAGATGGGAAAACTTTTGCCTCTGAGGGCTGATGCTTTGGAAGTGAGGTCACTGAATATTTTTATTTTTAAGGCAGAGGAAGATCAATTCTTGTCAGGCAAGGAAATTAAAAGTTAGTTGCGGGGTGGGAGTAGTAAATGACAATGTGGAATTTGAAATACAAACAGATCAGCAATGATCTTATTGAATGACAGAGGAGGTTTGAGGAGCTAAGTGGTCTGCTTATGCTCCTAATTCATACATTAGTATGTAAATTGTCCTGTCCATCACTTTAATGGACATATGTTTGCATTTTCCTCTTGACATAGCTATGAAAGTTTTATAGTCCCGTTTTATGATTATCCTTAATTTACATTCATGTTCCATTTTCCCTTTCTTTAACTTCTTGATCCTGCTTTGCTGCATTCAAAAAATTCTCCCAATCTTTGGACTTAGTACACTTTTGGCATATTTGTAGGCTTGTTCCTTTCTTCTGATACAATCTCTAACTTTTCTTGTTACAGTTGAATCTCCTGTTATCTTTTTCCACTTTAAAGGACTGTATATTTGATACAAACCATGTATTAATTATTTAAATACTAGCAATTTGCCTGTCTACTTTCATACCTTAGAATGTACTCCGCAATCTACCACAGCCAACTTGCCCTTTATACCTTTTTAGTATTCTTTGTTTAAGTTTAAGACCCTAGTTTCGATTGAATAACATCATTTTCACATGGCCAAGCTAAAAACACTTACATCCAATGAATGAATAAAAAAAACTATTCCCTGCATTAACACCGCTGTTTGGTGGCCTATTAACAACTCTACTACCCTTGGCTATTTCTTTGCTCCACCTAAATTGATTCGACATTAGATTTAAGCTTTTCTCTCAGTAATATACTAATCCCATCCTATTAACAGAACTACTGCACTTCCTTTTATTTTCTGCTTATTTTTCCTAAATGTTGAATACACTTGAATATTCAGTTCTTTCAGCATTGCTCACCATTCAGTCATATCTCTCGTAATAGCATTGGGATCGTACTTGTTTACTTCCATGTGTGCATTGTCATTCAGATCAAGTACCTTTTAATTTTGCCTTTTAAACATAAGTTATGAATTTGAGAATAGGTATCTCTGCATTAAAACAAAACTTTAAAGCATTTTATCAATCAGATTTTGCAACAAAATGCTAGTACATGTCCACTATTGTCCTCCACTTCTCTACAGCAGATGATTGACAATTGTTATTTATATATTCCATAGAATCCCTACAGTGTGGACCATCAGTCCAGCAAGTCCACACAACCCTCTTAGGAGCATCCCGCCCAGACTCACCCCTGTACCCTATCACTCTAACCCTGCACCTCCCAATGGCTAATCTACCTAACCTACACGTCCTCAGACACTACAGGTAATTTAGCATGACCAATCCACCTAACCTGCACGTCTTTGGAATGTGGGAGGAAGCTGGAGCACCCAGAGGAAACCTACGCAGACATGGGGAGAATGTGCAAACTCCACATGGTCGCCCGAGGCTGGAATTGAACCCCGGTCACTGGCGCCGTGAGGCAGCAGTGCTAACCACTGAGCAACCGTGCTGCCTCAATAACATATTGAAATATGTCTGATGCTAAAGTAATGAAGTAAAACAAAATACTGGAGAAATTTAGCAGATCTGACAGATTCTATAGAGAGGGAAACAGAGTTAACATATGACTGTTCTTTGGAACTTCAAGTGGTAGCACGGAAGAACCATATTGGACTGAAAATATTAACTCTATTTCTATCTCCACAGAGGCTGCCAGACTTGCTGAGTTTCTCCAGCACTTTTTATTCTTTTAGATCTCCAGCATCCATAGTACTTTGCTTCTACTTACTGAAGTTGTGAAGTCTTTGCTCAATATAGCTTGCAAATTTTAAGTCCCATTGTCAACTTTCTTATTGGAGCTGTTTGATTTTTGAATTTCTGCTCACTTGATTGGGGTATATGTTTTTACACAGTTTTCATCTGATGCTGTCCTAGTTGAGTTGGTTCAAAGCAACCTTAAAATGCTTTTACATTATGTAATGGAAAATGCTTTTTCTCAGCCAACTGAAGACCAGACTAATAAAAATCTCTATCAAGACCCTTACAACATGGAAGCACGTGGACGCTTGAATCTGAATCTTTGGTTGAAATGTCGGCTAGTTATGGTGACTGCCTTGATTGCTCAAGTATACGGCATTAGGCTAAGTAAAGGTATTTTGTTTTCAGTTTCTATTTTCCCTGACTCTTGCTTTTTAGTTATCTTTTTTGCTTTATTTCTTGGTCCTTCCAAACATTTTTTTTTAGAAACCATGTTCCTATTTTTTTTTCAGAACTTACACTCTTATTGTTTCCAGGCAAGCAGTTTGTAAAAGACTCATCATATTTACAATCACTTCACTGTTAAACTGTTAAAATACAGCGGGCTCTGTGACTCCCAGTTTTAAACATTTTAACTTTCAAAAATGATGCTCAAGATGCATGAATATAATTCCAAGGCATGCTGGGAAACATTTTTGTAAAATTGTTCAGCATGTGTACTCTTAATGACCATACAGAACAGGCAGATTATGACATCAATTAGTGTACAATGCTGAATTGACACCAGTACTGTTCATTTTGAAATGCCATGCTTCACTCATGCCAAACTAAACACGTGTTCAATAGTAGGAATGATGGACTTACTCCATACCCACCCAAAAAGTGCTATTTAAAGGGATCATTTACTACTTAACTAGTTGCTGAATTATTCCTTCTGATCACTACTGCATTTGTATACATTTTTGAAGACCTCCTTTAATTGTCTTAAGTTGCAATAAGCTGCTAAGTTTGACTGGTGAACTATATTTTAATTGATTCAAAAGTCTAAAACAAGACAAGGACCACATTGCAAGATTTAAGATCAAGGTGACTATGACTCTGGCTCCCTCCCAGCTGCTATAGGAGTTAAAAGCAGCATCTTTCAGTTCGCAGTGCAGTGCTGCATAAGGAAGATCATAAGGCTCTCTGCACACATGGTATCATCTCATTTACTCTTGCCAGAAACCAGCAGACTGTCTGATCATGAACGTTTGCACAGATGTCACTCACTGCATTCTCATTCCTATGCATGTATCTCATGTCAGCTCTTTCAGTTTCTCAAATTAAAGTGACTTTACTTACTCAATGTGTAGCTATTATGTCACAACAGCAGCATACCATTCAGAATGCAGGAGTGATGATTCCTTCAGGCCTTTGTACCAGTAGCACTGGGCTCCAGACAGCACATCAAAGGCTGCCTATTGGTCATAACTTCAACCTGGAATCCATTTACACAACAAATTACGTTCATTTTATGCCTCTGATGCAATAAAACATCCCAAAGTGTTTTATGGGTGTGGTATAAAACTAAGTCTGAAACTGAGCCACATAAAGAGATTTTAGAGCACATGACCAAAAACTTGCTCAAGGTGATAGGTTGAACAACCATCTTAAAGGAGGAAAATAATGCAGCGTGGTGGAAGGGTTAAGAGAGGGAATTCCAGAGAATGAAAACTGAAATTGTTGAAAATATATCAGAATTCCAGAGATTGTGGCCTAGGCAACTGAAAACACGATACTGACAGTGGAGCAACTAAAATCTGCAATCTGCAAAAGGCGAGAATTGGAGGAGTACAGATATCTTGAGGGTTGTGAGGCTGGAGGAGATTTCACAGATAGGGAAGGACCTCTGAGGGACTTGGATGGATTTGACAACGAAGATGAGAATTTTAAAATTGAGTTGGTGTTTAACAAGGAATCAAGCAAGGGGAGGTTGGGTTAATCACGCTTGGGATAAGTTAGAACATGGGGAGCAGAGTTTTGGATGATCTGATATTTATGGAAGGTAAAATTTGGGAGGTCAGCCAGGATTGCGTAGGCTAATGAAGTCATTTGATAATAATAGAATACATTAGAATTTCAACATGTGGCCAGCAAGATATAAATTATCAGTGCCTGGGCCTCAGCAACGTCTTTCTTTGCTTCCCATAGCAGCCTGGGATACAACTCATCAGCCCCTGGGGATTTATGCACCTTCATGCCTGGTAAAACATCTAATACTCCACCTTTGGGACCTCACCATTGCGACTGAAATCCCCAACCTCACCCACATCCTCTGGCTCAATGCTCAGATTGCCCCTTTGTTCTCAAATAGCCCCACTGTTTCCCACGTAATCCTCTTATTTATAAAATCTACTTATAAAATGTCTTGGGGTTTTCCTTAACCTATCTGCCAAAGATATTTTGTGGATGCTCTTTGCCCTCTTAATTTTTTTTAGGCAACCACCTGTGGTATCTAATACTTTTTGAAGGGCCTCCCTTACTTTTAATGTGTTGAACCTGACATATGCTTCCTTCTTTTTCTTTATCAAACTCTTGATAAGCCTTGACATCCAGAGTTCCTGTCCTTCCCCTTCACTCTTAGAGGAACATGTTGCACTGAACTCTCACTATACTACTTATTAAAGACTCCCACTTTCCAAACATAGACTTACTTGTGAGTAGCTGTTCCTCGTCTATGTTTGCCACATCCTGTCTAATGATGTTGAAATTGGCCTCCCCCCCAATTCTGACACTCAACTTCTGCACTTTGAACACTGACACTTCAACTACTTGACCAGCTTCATTCCCTAGGATGGGTTCTAGCACTGACCATCTCTCGTAGAACTATCTATGTATTGATACAGAAAGATCACTTTAAAAATTCCAGCCCATATAATCCTTTCACACCAAGGCAATCTCAATTTATGACAGCAAAGTTGAATCCCCTACAACTATAACCGTATTTGTCTCATACCTTTCTGTGACTTGCTACATTTCTGCTCCTCTATCTCCTTCTTGCGAGGCCTGTAGTATACCTTCAGCAAAGTAATCGCCCTTTTTTCTTTGTAAGCTCTACCCAGATGGCCTCATTTGAAGATCTTTCTAGGATGTCCTTCCTATTACTGCAATGATGGTTTCCCAAGAGAGATGCTCCCATCTCTCTTACATTCCACCACCCCACTCCCTGCCATCCTGCCTGAAATGTCTATACCCTGGAAAATTGAGGTGCTAGTCCAGCCCTTCCTTCAATCATGTCTCAGTGATTGCAACAATAGCATTGTCCCACGTGCTGATCAACGTTCTAAGTTCACCTGCCTTACCACTCAAGCTCGTTGCATTCAAATAGATACAATTTAGCTTTCTGGATCTCCTATGTGCTTTATCATGTGTCTTCTTCATCTACTGGACTAGGACCAGAGGGGTCAGAGTAAGGGGTCACCCAGTTCAGACTGCAATAAAGGAGGAATTTCTTCTTTTAGAGGGTAGTGAGTCTTTGGAATTCTGTAGCGGACACGTCTATCTCAAAAGAGTTCTCGTCAGTAAGGGAATTCAGAGTTATGGAGAAAAGGCTGGGGAGTAAGTTGTGAATTATAACATCAGCCGAGATCTCATTACGTGGTGGAGCAGACTTGGTGGACTGAATGGCCTACTTCTGCTCCTGCCTCTTATGTTGTAATTATGGTTAACATAAGAAGTATCGAGTTCGAAACAACTCTCTGGTTCATCATAGATGAAAAGAAACATCAAAACTTAGTGTGTGTAAAATGAATGTGAATGGATCTCATTGTATTAGGATAGCCCCTCATTCAAATTTGAATGGTTGTCTCAGACTTTCATGGTGTTACACTGTTAAGGATGTTTAATCAACACACCACCTTTATTTGAAAAAAGGCCTTGAACTTGTCAAATAATGAGGAGGCCATTCTAATTTTGTTTTAAAACCAGCAGAAGCTGCAAATCATCTTAGCAACCAGTAACAGTGATGTCTGGGAAGTGGGAGAAAGATTCTCCCTCAAATTTCCAACTTGAGGTTTACCTTTGAACCTATCTGCTGTAAATTCGACAATAAGAAACCATGCAGATTACTGAGAATCCTTCGGTTTATCAGACCCTCAGTTAACTTTAAAGCACCACCTCTATCTAAGGAACTACAGGTCTGCCACAAAAGTTGCAAATCATAAGTTGCAACCGTATTGGTTGAACTTCATCTGTATGTGAGGTTTGTGTATTTAAGAGTGTGAAATGTTTTTTAAAATTTGGGAAAGCGCATCGTAATAAATAACTATTTTAAAACTCACTTTGAGGATAAAGAAAACATACTTTTTGCACACCAGAGATACTGGTCATGGGCAGTAAAAAGGAATACACAAATTCTGCTCATGATATTCACTTTTGTCCAAACAGTTCCCCCTTGATCTTGAGTGTATGTTTATCTCAGCTTCCTACAACGATTACTAATGTCCTTAGATTTGGTAAAAGGGGAGACTTGCTAACTTTTGGGTGCCTCTTGCCTAGAAACCACATGTGACTATCAAGAGAGCACAGAATCAGCTCTCATTTTCCCATAGTTTGGCAGCCCACAGAATCATATCTAGTACAAAAGCAAAACATTACTACATGATTGTGACACCAAAAGACAGCAGCCTTCATAAGATTAGGTCACATCCTTTCAAGAATGGATGGGAGAAAATTGCAAGGGGTTGAATAATCTAGAAATTTTAAAGGCTGCGTAGGCAACTGAAAGAACTTCATACCCACAAGATTGGTGTCATTATTAATTGATTGTTGTGTAATTCTTTTTCTATTCACGTGAATTTCATGTGAAAAATTATTGTTTTGCTTTTGAAAATATTTATTACCCATCAGTTACTTTAACTTTGAGTCATAGCAAAGTTTGAGAGTGGGACTAAGAAGTAAAGAGGAAATGGGGAACAGAAGAAAAAGTCTTTAGCCTTGTGAAAAACTTTCTTTTTATAATTAAGGAGAAGATGACTTTTTGGAAACTGCTCGGCTCTGTGAAGACGGGATGGAAGAAGCAAAGGCCTATGGTGATGTAGAGACACAAACTGAGTTTATGCTGAATGCTGTCCTGCTTGATTTACGACTGGGTTGCCATAAGGATCGCATCAAAGTACTTTTAGAGGTGAGGGTATCATATAGATTTTAAATAATGCGTTTGTGATTTTTGTTTTGTTATCTGCTTGAGATCACAAAGTTATCAGCACCAAACAAGCACCTTCATTGGAATGATGGTCAGTAACTCAGTAAAAGGAACTCCATGTTTTAATTTTTGATGTTCCAAAGAGAGAATGTGGCCTTAAGGTGTCGGTGAATACCTCTACCAGTTGGTCCACACAGGGTCCGAGTGTTTGGCCGGGGTCACAGTCTAGGCCTATCGCTTTCTTCGGGTTGACTCCTGGGAAGACTGATCTGACCTCTGAAGCAGTGACAGAGGGAACAGGTGTGTCTGATGCTGTTGGGATAGGGGTCGCCATGTTGGTGGTATTCTGCTCAAACCGAGCGTAGAAAGCATTGAGTGCGTCAGGGAGGGATGTGTCATACACATGTGTCTGCTATCTTACACTGTTTCATTTTGTATCCCATATGTCGTTTAGGCTTGCCATAGATGGTGGAAGTCTGTTTGGTAGGTCTGGGCCTCTAACTTGGTCCAGTAAGACCATAAGACGTAGGAGCAGAAATTAGGACATTCAGCCTTTCGAGTCTGCTTCACCATTCAATCATGGTTGATAAGTTCCTCAACCCCATTCTCATGCTTTCTCCCCGTAACCCTTCATCGAGAACCTATCTATCTCAGTCTTAAGTACTGCCTCATGGCCTCCCTGATGGCTTTGTGGAGGTCATATCTGGATTTTCTGTATTGGTCCGGGTTACCCATCTTGAATGCTGCATGTCTGGTCTTCAGTAGGGAATGGATTTCCTGGTTCATCCAAGGTTTACGATTGGGGAACGCTTGGATTGACTGTTTTGGTACACAGTCCTCCACGCATTTGTTAATGACGTCCATGTTGGTGTTGGCGTACTTGTCTAGGTTTTCCGCTGAACACTTGAACATGGTTCAGTCCACCGAGTCCAAGCAGTTCCGGAGACAGTCTTCTGCTGCCTCGGACCAGCACTGTACTTCTTCTCGTGAAGGATTCTCTTGCACAGCTTCTGCTTGTAAGCTGGGAGGAGGAACACAGTGTTGTGATCTGATTTTCCAAAGTGTTGGTGGGGGAATTGAGCAGTAGGTGTCTTTGATGATTGTGTTGCATGTGGTCCAGAATGTACAGTCCTCTGGTGGGGCAGGAGATGTGTTGTTGGTATTTTGGCATCACCTGCTTGAGGTTGGCTTGGTTGAAATCGCTGGTCGCAATAAATAGGGACTTGGGGAATCTTGTCTGTAGTGTGTTTGTGGCAGTGTAAATCAAGTCCACGGCATTCTTCACATCTGCTGTAGATGTAGACTGCTGTCAGGATGGCAGAGGTGAACTCTCATGGTAAGTAGTAGGGACAGCATTTTACTGTAAGGTATTCTAGGTCTGGGGAGCAGTGGGTCACCAGGGTCTGCTACGTCCGAGCACCAGGAAGTGTTGATCAGGAAGCATACCCCACTGACCTTTGGAAAGATGTTAATGCATTGGAAGCAGCTCACAAAAGGTTGATGAGACTAATACCTGGAATGTAAGGATTGTTTTCTGAGAAAAGTCTGAACAGGCTATGTTTGTAACTGTTAGACTTTAGAAATATAATTCATTGTAGAGAGTGTTACAACACAGGGGCAACAAGTCAAACCTCACTATCACAGATTCGTAAAACAATGAAATTAAACATTCGATGACCCTTGAAACTGCCCAATTATTCCTAACAAGACTTTATAAATAGCAGATAACAAGGTATAGAGCTGGATGAACACAGCAGGTCAAGCAGCATCAGAGGAGCAGGAAAGCTGACATTTGATGCTGCTTGGCCTGCTGTGTTCATCCAGCTCTACACCTTGTTATCTCAGATGCTCCAGCATCAGCAGTTTCTACTATCTTTATAAATAGCAGATCTTGGACACCATGTTTATAGCTTAAATAAAAATTAACAATTTATTATTCATGTAACTTTAACAGAACATAGATAAACTGCAAGGTGATCTAATTAATACCTTTGATCTAAACCCAATCTTCCTTGATAACAAGCCCCCACTCTCACATTGACAGATAGACAGACACACAGTCAAGGGATAAACTGAAAAAGAAAAAAAAATTGTGATTTGCCAGCTTGATAATCACTTTCATAATGAATACCAGGCCCTTGTGAAATCCCTGGATGATGGGTTGTATTATAGACATATAGGACTGTACATCTTGCTTAAATTCTGAAGTCACTGGCCAATGCCAACAGCCTTAGCAGATTTCCAGAATTAGTCACCCACTTCTTACGGACTGGAGTTCTCTTCTCATAACATTCAACAACACCCCAACTCCAAGATGACTGTTGCAAGCGAATGTTCTTAAGGCATGTCCTGTTTTCTCCCGTTGCCACTGAAATAATTGCACAGAGGCTGCTATCCTGTCACCAAGTCACCCTTTACTTACTGGTGCAAGTGCACTGGCTGTGGCCATCCAGCTCGGACTCAGTTGCCTGAACTGAGGAGATTCTAATCTCCTGGTTATATGTTTTTTTCCCTTACACTACTGGCTTACAGCAGTGGTGTTTATCTTTCCCGTGTTGTGTGTGTGTAGGAGCAAAACACAGTAAAAACACCAGTTGTATAAATAACTTTATGAATATTCTACCACCAGGTAAAACACCCATGTGGCCAGGGAACCAGTGACAAGCACAGCCCTGGCCGGGGCAATGCTCACGTGAAAGAAAAATTGAAGGGGAGGGTGGGGATCAACTCAAAATAGAATTGGAGGAGGGAGAAAAAACACTCCACGCCCACGCCCCCGTGGTGCCCACCTCTTCCTAAAGGCATCGAGAGTGTCAGTGTGATCGTGTGATTGCCTGGTTATATTAGTCAGCCAGGGCTTTCCTCATTGACACGGGTTAACAACCTCAATCAATGACCTCATAGTCAACGAGGTCAGCCTGGTTCAAATCACAACAAGAGTGAAACCAGAGGGAGCAAACCAAAGCAACATTATCCGGAAGCTTTCAAAATCCAAAACTGCCTCCTTCCCAAAACACAGTTAGCAACAGTTCAGCCATTTTTCTCTTTCTTTTTCACATTCTCTGTAGTTGGCTGACCAACACCAATCCTCCCTTTGTTGACTCATTCAACATCCATCCAGCTGCCAGTACTGAGTGTAACATTTAGTGCCGAATCATCTGCAGTATTCTTAAAGCAGTAATTAACCTGCAATATCTTTCCAGACCAGTTCCCAATAGCAAACATCTATCTTTTGTTCTAAGATAACAAGCTGTAGAGCTGGATGAACACAGCAGGCCAAGCAGCATCAGAGGAGCAGGAAAGCTGACGTTTCAGGTCTGGACCCTTCTCCTCTTTTCTAAAACCAGCTGCTGTTCAAGGTTCAATTCACATTTCCAAACTAAAAATAAGAAAAAGGTAAAAGAAAAATTGTGATGGTCTCAACAAGCGGATGTTTCCTCTTATGGAAGGATGTAGAACTAGGGATCATTGTTTAAAAATCGGGGGAGTGGGGAGCGGTCATGATTCTTGGAACTGTCTTCCTGAAAAGGTGGAGAAAGCAAGAGTCCTTGAATATTTTTAAAGCATAGGTGGATAGATTCTTGTTAGACAAGGGGTGCAAGGTTATCAGGGTTATGTGGGAATGTACATTTGAAACTACAGTCAGATCTATCATGATCATCTTGAATGGCAGAGCATCAGTTGTCCTACTTCTGCTCTCGATTTGTATGTTTGTACGAATCATTGCAGCCTGCAAAAGGGCATCAGCATTGAAACTGTGTCCCCTTTTCAGCAGAATGTGGTATATTCTGTGGTTTAAATGTCCTTCAACCACTTTGACAGCTTCTGTAAAAAGGTAAGTATGTAAGGTAAGTGAAGGGGTGTGGTGTCTGATGGGTGCAAGTACACAGGTGTTAGGTATGGGTGTACGGTGCCTGGTAAGTGAAGGGCACAGCTGCCAAATGGGAAGCAGAGTATTATGCACGTGCTGGTGAGGGGATAAACTGACAGATAAGTGGATGAGGGCTGATGGTAGTTTGGCAATCAGGTCAGAGGGAAGTTGTGGGGGCAGGTCATGTCGGGTTGCGGCGTGTTCAGGGTTAATGTCCACGGTTGATCAGGGTGGGGAGTTATTGGGTCAGAGTGAGAAATTGTGGGTCTGCGCTAGGGACTGTTGGTGGGGTGTTGTAGTTGGGGGTGGGGGTTATCAGTGGTGAGAGGAGAAGGGTCAGTTTAATAGTTATCCTGGAGTTACAGTAGATTTTGAAAACAAAAACAGAAATTGCTGGAGAAACTCAGCAGTTGGCAGCATCTGTGGAGATAAAGCAGAGTTAATGTTTCAGTCCAGTGACCCTTCCTCAGAACGTTCTGAGGAAGGGTTACCGGATCCGAAACGTTAACTCTGATTTTTTCTTTATAGATGCTGCCAGACCTGCTGAGCTTCCAGCAACTTCTGTTTTTGTATCTCCTTTGGTTGTTGTTTCTGTGATCTTTGAAGAAGATGCTTGTGGCAATGCTTGTTATGTCTTTGAATCTTCATCAAGATTTGTGATGTTCTGTGTTGCACTTTCACCATCTCAGTTGTTTTGGATCTGAGAATGTGCTTGTTTCCATCAGTACGTAGACAAATGAGCACTGGTTGTCGCTTAATTCACTCCAGTGCCATATAACAGCAAATATCAAGAATTTGAGACAAATGTAATGAAAGGAAATTGCAAGAATAAATAAATCTCAAAGGTATGCAAAATGATACAAACCTATAGATTTCTAGACATGTTCCCTGACAAAATTTAGAAATTGAACACATGAGCATTGAAGGTCACATGTTCAGTGGAAGGGAAGTACTGAACCTGTGCACTTGGAGAGCAGGGAAAACAATAAGCGGGAATGTCCAGATTAAGATTGCAATGTCTGAAAATACTGATGAATCTAAGTCCAGGTTGTAAAGAGAGGGGGAACGGATTTCTGAGAGGATTGCTGCAGGCATTTCTTAGGTACAATGG